ACTTGTACAGTCCTCGGAAGAAGTTTGGGTTAAATTTTATTACCTAATATTTTTTTATTTAACGGAATTTTAAGCAAATAACCTGTTGAAATTGTTCAGGGCTTGATCTTGCGAGATGCTTTCTATGAATGATTTATTTATCATTTCCCTTAAAACAGCGTCCTATATACGTTCAATATTATTGAATAATATTGATTGAAAGTCCAAGGGCCATATTGACGGATTAAGCCATATTTCACGCATTTTCATATTCTGAAAATTTGTTGCGCAACCAGGAAGATGGGATGTCTGTATTAGGTGCATGGCGCAATATTGTCCATGCAGTGCGCCGCTAACGGTGGTTCAAAGTAGTTGTGGCAATCGCGTGTTCTTGTTGAGGCTGGCGAAAAGAAAATTCTTAAGAACTTCATCGAGGTTTATCGTGGTCTACCAGCTTTATGGGGTGTTATATAGCGAGATTCTCCTAACCGTTCAAAAATAGGGTAGCATGACTAGGAACTGATTGAAAATAACTCGGTTCATAGTTATATTTTTCTGTGTAAACTTCTCTCTGTCAACGAAGTTTTCGGACTTTTTTCTCCCTTTCCTCCCAATCATGGCTCCTAGACAAAGTACCGCGTGCAAACCGAAATATTGCGCAATAATATTGAGCAGTATAGGGAATGTTATTGTTATAAGGTGCTAAGTACAGGGCTGCTTTGGACTACGGATTTCTTACTTAGTCCAATTAGAATAATGAACAGCGATTATAGTGTGTGAAGACACGGGTGCAACGACAGAGTGATGATGTCGAAGTCGACAATGGAAAAAGATTTAGGAGTTAATGTACGCAATGCCAATGAGTTTGAAAATTTTTAAGCATATCGAAGCTCAAGTTAATAAAGCCAATAAACGACTTGGACTGATCAGACGCTCATACTAGTACATAGATGCAGAAGTGATGAAACTGTTGTTTGTCACTGTCGTGCGTTCAAACCTAGAGTTTGGAAACGCTGAGTGGTCACCAAAACTAGAAAAGGACAAAAATTTGGTAAAGGACAAAACCAACACCAGGGACCACGGCTATAAACTAATAAAACTGCGTTGTAACACATCCATGCGACAACATTTCTTCTCGCTTCGAATCACCGATAAGAGGAACCGCCTCGCTGATAGCATCGTTGACGCTCCGAGTATGAACGCCTTCAAGAACGGACTAGACGAAGCTATGCATGAGCATATGTTCAGTCTTGAAATGCCTAGCACCTTACGGACCGGGCAATAAGTCCAGCAGCTATCGCAATAAATCGTCAGCAATGGAAAGATGGAGTTCCAAAGGCCGGATTCCTTGTAAATCAACTCGCGAAAAGCACAAGAATCGGCAACAGGCCATGGGCCTATTTTTTCAGTGCCGACACTTCTATTCTATAACTGCAGTCGATGCAGTAACACATGCTTGCTGCGACGACTGCAGCATTAAGCCCCGTCCACACGCTCAAACTTATCGTCAGTCTTGCATGTCATGCCAGGTTTGACGACAAGATGGAGCGTGTGGACGCTCAAAGTTTGATGTCTTGCATGACGGGTGGGCGGAGTTTGATGTTATTCACCATACGTTGGACGTTTGTTTCCAAGCTTGCACAACTGGAAGTGAAGTTTTCACCAGCCTGTATAACGACGCGTCTTGGGAGATGATACCTTAGACGAAATATGCATCTTAGGAAATTAAGTAATTAGTCAAGTAAGTAATTAATTTCATTAATTACTTTGGTCGGTTAGGGTTGACGTGATCCAGTTGGCGGCACGTGGTTGACTTCAGTTTTTATTTTCAGTCACTTCTGTACTGTACTTCAGTGACTGAAGTACAGTCACTGTACTTCAGTCTGTAACTGTAAATAACTACGCCACTTCGATACGGTTTTCAATTTAAAGATTTACACCGATGTCGGAGTCTTGCTCACAGTGCTCTAAAACAAGTTTTTTTTACAATATTGGTGAAATTAAGGTGGGATACTTGTTGTATATCAAGTTGATAATTCTCATGGTTTTGTGGCAGTGATCTCCAAAGACATGGATTTTTACCTCTTTTCACTTCAAGGGGGCTCAGCCGTAGGCCCCAAATTTTACTCTGAAATAAGCCCTGGAACCAACGCCTAGCTTCACCATGCATTAACTTTACTCAGCCTCAGAACTATAAGCTGCATTCTACACTTGAACTCCGTAATCCAGACAAGCGACACACTGCCGAAAGATAATAGCGCCGTAGGTCTACAGCCAATGCTTAAGCATGCTCGCTCATAAGCAGGCAGCTTCCCACCCGGCTGTACCTACTCCTGCCTAACCTCTTCTGGCCAAACCTATCCACGCTATCCCGGCTCACAACCTTCTTGCAGCCAATGACTGGCTCTACCAGCACACTTGGACCGCCTTTCTAACTTCTTGCAGCCAATGAGGTTAGGTTAAGTCTGCTCAGGTTTGTTTTGGGTGGAGAAAGGTTGCAGCTCGTATAGTTTATGCTTAAAGAGGTTAGGCCAGATGAGGTTTGTCCAGATGCAGTATAGCCATGTTTACCTTTGGCAAGCTTATTTAAGTTATTTTGTGGCTGTGGACATCCGGCGCAATGGCTTTGAGCACTTGACTTCATAGGCCGTTATGCACTTTAGCGTTCTTGCATATGGAAAGGAATATGAACTTAGTGCGAAGTTTGGCAAAGCTGGCCTTCGGCATGCTAAAGGTAATCTATATAATCCACGCCTACGCTGGGAGAAGTTCAAACTTCAGAGGTGGGACTTAATTAATGAAGTTAATTTGCAGGAAAGCAGAAAATACCAGAAAAATACCAGATATAGGCAAATATACCAGATCTCAAAAATTCATACCAGACACCGTTTGACAATACCAGATTTGTGAAATCTGGCATGGAAATATACCAGTTGGCAGTGCTGTTCGTTTTTAAATTTCAAAAGAGAAGCATATAGCAATTCGAGTTCAATTTTTTCCAAGTTTTGCTGAATTTGGACATGAAATGGCAATTCAGTCCGAGGTTTAGGAGTTCCTTTTGCTCCTTGCTCTGAGTGAGGGAGGAGAAAAAACTTTTTCATTTAATCGTGAAAAACGATCCATGTAAAAAGTCCTGACTGCTGCAAGAAACCTATAACATTTACAAATTTCCCTGCTTGAAAGAAGGTTGTAGACTTCTCCAAAATGTAAATAACATGGGTTTGACCAGCTCGACATCGAGCCGCAGACTCTCATGCTATCTGCAAGCCGGAGGACCAAAGAAGCATATGCGGGAGGCCCACAACGAGACCATCACCCATGCCACGTTGGAGGCCTGCACCAGCATCGTCATGCGGTGCCCCGACGCTACGAGACTGTCGATAGCGGAGGCTCTCATCATCAAGGACTAGTCTCCTGCTATCAATTTGCAAACCGCCGGATTCGTTAGGACGTTGAAATTATTCTCGGATTAATTTAATTTTCGATTTTAAACCGTATCTACGATACTTCTTGTGTGAACTTCTGTCATGTCCAAATTTCAGCGTTATAATAACTCTTCACCTGCTTGATAATGAATATTGGTATATTCGAAACGTCGCACTGCAATAAAATGTCATTTGGTAATCTGCTTTTTGATCTCCAAGCACCAGCAAGAAATTTCATTCGGCTTATCGAAAAAATATATAACTCAGTAGTACTCACTGCAGTGAGTGACAGAGAGCGCATTTTCTCGTCGACGAAAACTTGAGGTCACGGACGGACGGACAGACAGACAGACATAAATGAGAAAATGCGCTAAATAAGAAAATTGTTGATAAAATCTATGCTCTGGTCTTCAATTAAACTTGCATGAATGAAGAACTTCTGCCTAACTACATTAATATCCGCCTCAGAAATAGATGCCGCAGATAACGATCACTGTAAGCCAGATCAGTTTCGCAATGCTTGATGCGATGACACTGTAAGTCTACAGCTACCACTTTAGCGTGCCTGCTAATAAGTACGATATGCAGTTTTGCATTCGGTCGCACCAGCTCAAGTTGCCCTGACTCTCCGCTTTCTTGCAGCAAATGACTGGCTCTGCCTACTCATTTGCTTTGCCCCTCAACCCTCACGCAGTCGACCAGTTTAGTTTCGTTCAGGTTGTATTTAGGTGGAGAGTCGGGGCAACATGAGTTGGTGAAGCCGGATGCAAAACTGCGTGCTTGAAACGAGCATGCTTGAGTAGTTAATGTAGATTTCCGGCGTTATTACTTTAAGCAATTAAATATAAATTCAATGGCTAGTGTGCCTTCTAGCGTGCTTGCCTACGGAACAGAATACGCAATGGAGTGTAGCCTGGGCAATGCTGGCCTCTTGCACGCATCTCGAAGTAGTGGCTGTAGATTACCGCGCTGTTGGCGGTGCGGAACTGATCTAACTTACGTGTCCCTGCGTGGGCTGTGACTTTTATTTCTGAGGCTGAGTGTAGTTATTGCATGCTGAGGCTCACTGTTGGGACCAGGGATAATTTTAGAGTTAAATTTGTGGTGCACTACTGAGCCCACCAGGCTTTGCCAATTAATAACCGTTTTTAAATTACCAACGGAAGCGACAAAAAAACGAAAACCAATATATATGCGTATTAATAATAGATAAATATATTACATAATTAAAGGCGGGACATTAATTATCCGGATGTTCAAATGAAACCATATGAGGCTAGCCTTGAAAACAATGGCTTCATCGTCAATTGATTTGAATAGCTGTCTCTTATACACATCTAGATGTGTATAAGAGACAGATTATATATATAGCAGCCGAAACATGGTCGTAAGTAGCAGGCGGCCCCTCGTTTGTAAACAACCGTAAAGTCTCGCGCAAATTATCGCCGATGGTCGCTAAGCGGCCCGTCCATCGCCTCCCGCCGACGAGCGCAATATCGCCGAGCTTTGGGAGAAGCGGCCAATCTGCCGTTGTGCGATCATAAACTCCCTCCACGCCGATAAACAACCGCGCCACGGCCTTAAATTTTAACTGGGTTGTTCACAGTGTCACCGTCTGTATTCGTCTGTCGGAAAAGAATGCATCGTATTTGGTATATACTATTTTTTTCTTGATCATTATAACTTAAAGTCAACCATATGCTAACGAAAACTTTGGCGGGACATAAAAATCTGGATCAAAATGAATAAGTTTATTCAAGGATTTCAGGCCGTTGTTTGCGTCTCTTAATTGCGTCTCGTGAAGAAAAGCGTAAAGATGTCGGAGAACGTGCAGGTCCCGCCAACTTCGTTCAACGAAGTGCCAATCACGATATGAATGATTGATGACGTACGAGTCACGTCACCTTAGGAGAAAAATCAGAGCAAAAATCATCAATTTCATCACGGATCACAGGGAAGTGTTTCTAGCGTCACTATACCCTTAACCGTATTTGCTTTTAATCATTTCAATCATTTAAATTGTTGGGTCGTAAAGAAATCAGCAATTGAATTACTGACAAAGTTACTTAAATTAAATAAACTGAATAAAGGGCACTTCGTCTTTATTATAATATCAGGCCGCGAAGCGGCTTAGGATCTCAACAAAACACCTTCACTGACACAGAAATGCACGTATTCCCTGCCGGACTTACGGTGTACGAATTGGAGATCAGCCTTGGCGGAGGGCGGTTCACATGGAGTGTCACAGAAGCAGGTGTAAGTCAACAGTCTCCGGGGCGGCTGGCGTAGCGGGCTTTAAGTCTCCATTTGAATTTCACAGATGAGGCAGCAACTAAATGGTCGAGTGGGACCCATGACGATTAGTTCTGATACGTTCAAGATAGGGTGCACGGGAACACTGCGACATCCAAGAGAAGCTGCAGCCGAGTGACTTGCACGTTTTGACTTCACTTCTCCAAAGACGCTCCTTTTTCTTAGAAAAGTTGATTAGAAGTGCGGATGGAGAATATATACATTGCCATATCAGGAAGGTGTTTTGTTTTGAATTAAATTTAAATTTACTTCAGCCAAGTAATTTATAGATCAAGTTTATTTTTGCGGTAAATTTCTTTTATGCCCACATTAAGGTTCCCTCAAATATCAAGATATTTGATATATGCAGTTAAATTGACCAATCTTAAAAATGATACAATAAATTTACACATTATAGAAAGCGATGGTAAAAATATTCTCAAAAGGCTAAGCCCTCAAGTTATCGTTTAAAGTCAATGCATCGAGTTTCTACATTATTGATCTTTCGCAAATTTTTTAATAATTATATTGTCATATATAACTGTCTCATTAGCTCGTTGGCACGGCTTAGTTGTAATTGAAGGCAAAACATTCAGCAATCATAGGTCCAAAATGGGAAATGATCCAAATAATAAACTGTAATTGATAACTATTAAGCTGGAGCAATTGCTTGAAAATTATCCATTAATCAAGTTATTCCGATATTAATTAAACTTAATTTTCCCAAAGCTCTCATCGAGAACTGAAGAATGAGAGCGATGGATTCAAATCAATTAATTTGCTCGTCAGATTAAACTTGTATCTTATGATAGATTGCTTTGGTAACTGAGTTGTTGAATTTGTCGAAATTTTTGTTTATGCCTCGAAGTTTGTCCGGCAGTTATCAAGTTTCCAAAAGACGCGTGTAGCACAGTCTAGTTATTTTGTTAGGGATCAAAAATTATAAATCATGTGTGTGACGTAAAGCCTGTATCAATAGGAATCTGTCCATGCAGGGTCTCCATAGCGCGGGCAATTTTTTCTTACACTTACATAGCATGCGTTTTGACCATTCGGGCACTCTGTGGCGACTTCGTCACCGTTGCAATCCTTACACTGGACGCACTTATGAGCCGAAGTGCTCACCACACCCATCACCACCTCCAGTGTTAACATCATCGCTCGACCCATTACCTGCGAGAAAAGTTGGTTTTCCATTCATTTTTGCATACCAACAATTCAATGTTTAACATTAATCTTCTGTGAACTGCACGTTTTAATAATAATGATATATATAATAAAAATAATTGCGGTTCTAGCGTTCATTAGGCCCTAGGCTTGTCGCCGATTCCTAACATCGCAGTAGATTCAGTTTGTTGCGGTCTCGAAAACGCAACTCACTGCTCCAATGCTGCTGTGCATGCTTAACCGCCCGGCCTCCTCGCCGATTCTGACCAGAAACTGTCGCAGGTAGCTAGGATCGAACCCGCACCTTTCTGCTACAATCCTGGTACTTTGAACTGGGCCAACCTGCCTTACACTCATCAACCGCCAATTTTACGAAATAATGAAAGCTTATTTATTAAGGACAGATGCATATTTCCAGGGTTGATTATTCAAGTGACAACTTGATTATTCATAAAACAAAAATAATTACATTTATTCTCTAATTTTTCTTTGTGAAAGGTAATTATTTGATTCGCAAAAAAATCTACTAATATCCAATATAAATTAAATAGAATATATTGAGTCCTTCGTTACGCTCCAAGTAGGCATGAATGAAAATTTTCTGATTTATGAAATAAAAATGGTCGGTTATGAACCACGGGTGCGTTAGTCTGAAATGCATTGAATTTTTTCAGAGCTAATTATTATTAAATAATGAAAATTATTTAATAACAATTTTCCTCCTCATTTCAAAAAAAGTTTTAAAATGTTGGTGGGGAAAATTTCAGTTGTATAAACTCGATCTTTCTACGTATAAATAATATTAGAAAAAACTTGATTGAATTAATAATAAACTGCAGTTTACTGAAAAATAGTGAAAGTAAATTAAAAAAATTATTAAATAAAGGACATGATTGAATGAATGACGTGATTAAATGAATGTTTAGAAGGTAACACACAGGCAGAAGTCTTGGAATATGCGTTAATAACGCTATACTTACGGTTATCTTCATTAAGATTGTCTAATTTTAAATCTCTTCTGTGATCTGCTAAAGCCTCGAGGAGATGCAGAGCAGAAATGCAAAAGCCTCGTGTGGCAGACCCCGTTATATGGACAACTGATTTCGGAGATAAGAATGTAGCTGATATTAAACATGTCATAAAGGTTGACTTATTCCGTTGGGTAATGACGCACGTCGCGTCATGTCATGAGTCTCGTGAATAAAATGGAACATTTAGCACCTCGTGACAAGCTGTCTCTCGATTGGATGGACGGTCATCAGATGAAGAAATCCTGTAATGCTATGTTAAATTCGTGAGCTAATAACGTGGGCTGCTAAAAGAACTTACCACTGACATACTTTTGGCTCAGACTTAATTGGAGAAATCTCCGATTGAAATTTATTTCGGCGAATGAATGATGTTTTAATCCATTTTCGTGTAACCTGAAGATCTTATGCTACTGTGAAGATAAAGTCTTCCTTGATATTCATAAGTCTAAGCATTTTATAATTTAAAATTTATTTACCACTAGTTCCATAAAAATAATATGCGTTTAAAAATTACTTTTTAAAGACAACACTTCTGAACAATCCAGTGTCTTGGATGTTACACATGTACAATGAATTTCTAATTTTATTTTCAAATATATGAAAAAAAATTATTTATCAAAATTTTTTAAAATATCAAAATTTTGTAAATTTTTAAAATTATTTATTCTGTCAATTGATTTATGCATTGTCTCCAACTTTACGCAAGAGTGCCAAATTTCAGATCGATTGGACAGGTAGAAGTGTTATAAATATCGATTATAAAATTTGTAGCAGACAGACAGACAAACAAACAAGAAGTGAAGTTAAAGAAAAGTGTTGTAATAAAAATAAAATGTCATGATTGAAAAATTGTCTCATCAGTGCGAAGACGATTCTCGAAAATCAGCGTTTCTAAATTTTCTTCAATGCTGCAAAGTGTAAATTGTCATAATATGTATGACACTCCGTCCACAAATAATCTCATCGTTGGTTTAAAAAAGGAAGAAAAAGAAATTAATTATGCCTAATTCTAATAATGTTAACCAAACGTCGGTCATATTTTAAAAATATTTTCTAAATTATCAAGAATATCTAAAATTTATGATTCCGTCCTGGTAGCTGGCAAATTCCCAGTTTGAATTTGTTCAATTTTTGTACATGAATTACTTTCTTATAAAAATCTGCATGCTTAAATATTTCTAATTTCGTTAATAAATGTGTTCGCTTCGCATGAGCCAGTCGCTAATCTTTTACCGGCGTCTCTGCTGTCAGTTTGACGTACGTGTGCTCTATGATATCTCGAGTAGTTTATTATATATTCAAGTGGAAGTTCATATTTAATGTTTCAGGCTTCTTTGCACGCTCCGATAAAAACAAAATCATCTCAAGTGGAGGCCTTTCTTTTTAAACTTTTGACGGCGTCTTTGCTGTCAGTATGAAGTGCGTGTGACTCTGTTATTTTGAGTAGTTTATAATATATTCAAGTGGAAGTTCATATTTAATGTTTCAGGCTTCTTTGCACGCTCCGATATTAACAAAATTATCTCAAAAGAAGGTCAAAATTATTTTATGAAGCAGAATATTACGCAAATATCTATGCAGAATTCTTCAGTGTAGAAATCTGCATTTTCAATCATTTTGTAGTCAATCTTCAGAAAGGTTGGAAGATTGACTGTATTAGAGTGTCGAGGCCGTGGTGCGCTGAAAATTTTATCAAAACAAGTCCACATGTGATATACAAAGATTCCGTCTATGACTAAATTGTAGTTTTTACTTTTTTCTAGAGATATAAATTTTCAATCTGTAAATTCGTAGCTCTTAGAATTTCCCTCATTGTTTTTTTAATTAATTTAAACCAGCTTTGAAATAAATACATAAAGCTTTAAACTTCAAAGAAAGAAAAGCGGACATTGAAAGTGGCATAATCATATATTTATCGTTCGTATTTGAAGATCTATTGTTGTGCCAAAGTATCAATGATTCCAAAAAAAACTCTCGTATAGCAAAGGTATTATCAGTTCGTCGAATAATTTTTGAGGTATAGTGGTTAGACAAAATTAGGTAAACACCTTGGAAATCCACAGAATATGCTTTTTTTATGGTGTAGGTCCACCCTTTACGGCCATTACAGCCTCAATTCTCCGAGGTGCCCATTCATACAAATTGTGCATTGTTTCCAAACGAATTTTAACCCGTTCATCAGTTAAAACTGCCTCCAGCTCTTTTAAAGACGATGGCGGCGGGAATCGACTTCTGATTTGCATATCTAAAATCAAGCATGAATGTTCGATAATACTAATTTTGTAATAGTATAATCAAGGACGAGTAAGTTTTACAATATGCCGGTATAAAAGAAGATAGCACGCAAATGACGTCCGTTATTGTCAATTTATTGTGCCAGTCGTATCCGGAAATTGGCGTCGACTCTTTCCAGTATCTCACGCCTCACGAACATCGAAGTCCCGAGGAATCAGTTGATGAATCCATACAACTATCTTGTAGGGATAGAACTTCAATTCCTCATGAAGGATCCGTCTAACAGAACGAGCAGATAACCCCAGAGCTGATGCATGCCTGCGAGCAGATCGTCGGGGAGACCTCAAGATAGAATACCGCACCGCTTCGATGTTCTGCGGAGATCTTACAGTCCTTAGGAGACCAGGCTTCTTCTTCTTATTCAAATCTACAGATTCCCTGAAGTTCTTCACCTACGCTACGATTGACTGCGTCCTGGAACACGACCATGAGGTGGAACATGGAAGTGCCAACGATATGCACGCTGCGTGACGATGATTGATTTACCCATGGAAAAATATGCCTCAACCGCAAAAGCACGTAACACGTTCGTCCATTCCTTGACTACTGCGAAGAAGAATGAAAATAAATTAATGCGGCTCATAATATAAACAAAACTTAAGAGTTTGCACTCTTGATTTGCCTCTCCTTAAAGTTATCGTAGCAAATCACACTTCAGGAAGGTTAATTCAAATAAGCAAGTTCTTCTGCCCTCAACCTGTATATATAACAATTTTGTTTGACCTCATTCCCGTCTGTTTGACCAGCATAATTATTGACCGAGAATATTTTGGGTGGATTGGCAGAGGGTCAAACCAAATAATTAAGATTCCTCAACAAGTGATAAAGATCTTACCACATAAAACGAATCCATTTCATCGTTCATCAATGGAGCCAATTGATATTTTCAGATCAGTATTGGTATACTCTGAACAAAATTAATGAATGAATCTGTTCATTCGTTAATATAATGAGCCAATTTAAATTTCAATCCCTATCGAAATTCGAAGACCTGTCAGCTGCTGGCACACGGACGCCCCAAATTCTTATGACAGGGTAAATTAGAAGCTCTATGTCCGCATTAGGTTCCGGTTGCCGTAGCAAAATAAGCGCCGAAATGGAATCTTGTGTAACTACTCATCGAGCTTGGGGCGATCGTGGGGCGTGCGTAATTGGTACCTGATACGTTCGGGACAGACACGGCCGAATATGAAAAATGCTTTAAAAAANATATTACGCAGATTTGGCCTACCGGGCAATTGACTTCCAAAAGAGGCTGGTAAATAGAAGCAAAACACCCTACGTGGCCGACTTGCTCCTGATTCACCCCTAAGCCGAATATAGTTCCTCTAAAACGACCTTAATCGGCACGAAAATTTTGACAGGGTGCTCCTGATTCACCCCTAAGCCGAATATAGTTCCTCTAAAACGACCTTAATCGGCACGAAAATTTTGACAGGGATAGATCAGGATAACCGTATATTTTTGCAGCCGACTACCTGGAAAAGACAAAGAATTAGCGTATTTCCATTAATGTTAGCATTGGATTTCCGTGCATAAAGAATTGGAAAAATGGGTGAATTTGCATGAACGTGTAAATGAAAACGATATTCAATTATGATTTTAAAAGAAATGAAATTATCATGCGAATCAGAGAGAGAGAAACGATACATCCTAATTCCTGCTACCTATTCATATTAGATGCATCTTTAACACACTCCTCCTGGACAGAGTAAGTGTAAATTTATGGTCTTCTGAGAAAACTCATTTCCATAGAAAATTATTATTTATTAGAATTTGTATTATGATATATTATATTACGAATTAAATTCGTTATCCAGCGGATGGGAGATGGCAACGATGTCCCTTAACATGATTCTGCATTATATTCCAGGAAATCGACGACCACCTTGTTCACTACAACGCGATGAAGGAGCGCAACAGAAGTTAGGAGAACAAGATGCTAGAAGAAACTATTGCTGGTGCTCTTAGAATTGAAGCGGCATTTGCCTCCGCTGCAAGTATATATTTTATCCTTCAATCATAGTGGCTAAACAAAAAAAGACGGCTCTGGGTTATCGTGGTGTCATGGAAGAATTGTAATAATCACATATAATATCCATATAAATTTTTTTTCGTATCCGTATGCAATTAAATTACAAACTGTTTAATGAGAGACTGACCAACAATAATATATCCTTTAATATTCACACAGACAATTATTTACCAATCGCTAGGAAGCGCCTTTGATAATTGGAGATAGAAACATATTTATTGTCTGTTGATATCTCCTATTGGTTGTGTTAAATTTTTTCGGAAATGAAATTCTACTTGGTATGAAATATTTTTATCCGTTCCTCCACTCATCTCGATACCAAATTGAATAGGATTTCATTCTGCATATATACAGAATTATATCAACGTTTGTGCATCACACATGCCTGATAGAATTATAACCATTTGGAGTGAATCATTCAATCGAGTGAACAACTGAGCGTTCTTGACTGTATTATGTCATTTGGATGCATACGCTAAGATATAAAAATTAGTCATTTTAGTAGAGATTCTTTTATTTGAACTTCACCTTTGAAAATTTCTAGGTGTTGAGAATTCTTCCCAACGTTGGAGGTAAACCTCTTCATAAAGTGAACAATTGTTAATTTTTCAGAAAGACCAAAACAAATCGAGGATGATTGAATTAATTTAATCAAATTTAATCGTTGCATGGAGT